TTATCATATGAGTTGAAATCAGCCCCCCACAAGAAAGTTTCCCACAACGTCCCACAGCATATTCCTGTTGTGTATAAGGAATATCTCCTGATGATGCCTCATCATTTTTGGTACTATCATCCGTAGATGTTCCCAATACACATGGGAATATGCTATGGGACGTTGTGGGAAACTATCTTGTGGGGGGCTGATTTTAACTCTTATCATATGATATGATTTGTTAAGTACGTTGAATCAACAAGAAGCCAGTCTAGCAAAAGTTCACTCAAAAGCAGTTTTGACAGAGTTGAGGTGTAAGAGTCTTCTGCCTTGCAACTTGGAATTAGGGATGCAAACAAATTGGAATGGATCCGAATCAGGGTATATACGAACCCAATCTGACATTGTTTATATCAGATCCGATTCGATCAAATCTGATAGGATCATAGGACTCAATTTAAATTCAAATCATATCAGCAAGTCGGATCTGATCCAATCGACCTGTTTTCTTTAAAAATTAATAAATTATTAAAAGAAAATTAAAATATACTAATTTAAGTAAAGTAAAAGCAAAAAACACAGATATTTTTTAATTATTTTCAACATATATATACATGTTTTTTATAAAAAATAAATAATATAATAAATTTATAAAAATATAATAAACAATATATATATTTAAATATATAATATATTGGATCAAATCTTCTCGGACCGAATAGAGAGGGATCCGATTCCGATCCAAAGATCCGAACAGAGGGGTGATCCGAATTCTACCAAATAAAACCGAATCAGACCATGACCCGATCCATTTACACCCCTACATGAAATGCTCATATTTTTTTATAGAAGAAAGCCCACACGTATCACCCGTTTTATTTTGCCACATCACAGCAACTGGTGCTGGCTTGCTGGATTCTGGGTTGAAACTTCGACGCTAATAAACGATTTATCCCTAAATGCACCAAGAATGGAAAAAGGATTAGCTGAGCTTAATAGCTGTTTTGCAAGTTATGGGATTGGGATTAATCATTTTGCTCCATATCAGTGATTGTGGGCCGTATATGTATTTTTAGCTGCTGTAGAGTAAAATGGTTCACCTCACAACCCGTAAAATAGCTACCAAGTTCAGCCAGTTCATTCTCAATCTCAACCACTCTAACAAGTAAATCCAAATAATGCATGGGTTCGATACAAATTTTGTCAAATTAAGGTTGATAAATTTGGGTTTTGACATCGGTTAGATTGATTTTCAGTTGGCTTGGCCCTTAATCCAATTCAATCCATCTTAGAGATAATTAAAAGGAATTCAAAGAGATTTAAGAAGAACCGAGGGATTTAATGAAGAAGATGAGAAGGGGGGGGGAGTGAGTTTTTAAGAATGGTTTTATTAGATAGAACTATGATATACTTTGGAGGTATTTGGTTCCATTGCATCATTAAAAAAATTGGGCCACTTTGGGAAACATCATTTTTAATGTTCTTTGCCTTTTCAAAACATTGCAATGCATGGTTGTTGATGTGGCTTCAACATGGTGCCATTTTCTCAAGAAATGGCAATGGAACCAAATATCTCTAAAAATTGATTTTTTTTTCAGAAAATGCAATGGGAAATGACAATAGGACCAAATACTACTTTTATTAGAGAAAATTAAGACCTAAGAGGGTTTTTATATTATGTCTTCTTATATTTTTAATAATTTAATTAAAAAACAAATAATCACATGCCTAAGAAATGAGAGTAATTCCATATGAATAGGAATGGCAATTTCTATCCTATCCAGCTGATACCCACCCCTACCCACCTCAATGGGGCAGGTTCTTTTGCTTGAAAATTACATCCCATACGGGTACAAGTCAGGTATTGTATTAGGCAAAACCTGACCCTTCCCAACATGCATATTGTTGGAAGGCATGTGAACTTATGTAGTAGGTATTGAATTTAATAATATTTTGAATTTTATGTAAAGGAGAATTGATAGTTTATGTTTTTCTACACGTGTTAATCAAATAATTAGAAACTTTGATGCTTGCTCATGCTATTTTACTTACTTATTACTTATATATAACAAGAAATAATAAGAAATTAGATATGGGTTCTAAATCCACATTGCGAATTCGACTCACCCCACCCTCAAATGCGAGGAGGGTAGGGTTGGAGAGGGTTTTGCATTTTCATGTATGGAGAGGGTACCAATCCAGAGGTCTAGGGAGGTGGATAGGCTCTAAAGTTTACAAAACCTTCCCCGAACCAACCTGGTTGTCATCCCTATATATAATGATCATTGAGCTGAGAGGACTCTTGCCCTCCTCTTTCTCCCATCTTGCATAGATATCAACAATGTTTAGGGTTGCAAGTGAAGTTATTCAAGAATTTGAACCTTGAACTATGGGCTTGTATTAGGATTCAGGCCCATTCAAAATTTAACAAATTCCCAATCCAACCGTGGACAAGTTCCACCCCTATATATGTTCTTGTATGTGCCTCGTATAATCGGTCCATTGGAGATAGGCCCACGCTTGGCATAACTAGGCTTAGTTCTTCAAACTTCAGCTCACCGGCCTGATTAGTTTTGGGCCCTAATAGACAGTGAGACAGTATGCAAGGGCCAAGCGGAACCAGCCAAAGCCCCAAGCTCCCAACACCAGGCCCGACATGGCATGACCTGCCTGCGACCTATGCAAAGTGCGAGCTATGCCGTGTTGGCCTGTGGGCCATCCTAGGTCGTGCCGCCCTCCTCAGGGATAATTTGGGGGGTTGGCCCGGCACGGCCCACGACCCAAGCCTGTATGTGACCATGCCATGTCGTGCCATGCCGCGGGCCTGGGCTAGGCGGGCTGCAGGCCGGGCCTTAGGCATGGCCCAAACCGAGTCAGACTGATTACTTTGTTTTTTTGACATTTTTTATTTCTTTGTTAAGTAAAACTAAAATATTTGACTTTCCTTTGGAAACTATTTGGAAAAAAAAAGAAATCTAACAAAGAAATTAAAAAAAATACTTAACCAAATAAGAAATCAAAGAGACAAAGACTCAAAGTGAATAACAAATTGGAAGAAAAATAAGAATTTTATTTCATTTAAATTTGAATGATACAAATAATACAATGGTTGGATGAATGAAATATGAAAATTGGAATAAATTAATAAAATATAAAAAATACAATATAGTTACAAATTGAAAATAAAAAGTTATGTTATTAAAATATCAAATAAATTAAATAAAATTAAGACAAAATTCATAATAATTTGAAAAAATGCTATACAACTATTGAGTATACAAAAAATATTGACTTCATCATTTTCTCATATTGTTCTTGACTTTGATCATCTGTTTCAGGTGAAACATTAGGTGTAGTGTCATGCCTTCCTTTATCTTGTAATCTATCTTCAAGATCCAATTAATCTTTAAAGTAGATGTACATCTCTAGAGTTTCATTATTCATACTTCTTTTGTCACCCAACACCTTATTACTTGCACTAAAACAAGACTCCGATGGAACCGTAGACACCGGAGGGGATTAGTAGATCACGTGCCATAGCAGCAAGAATTGGATAATTTTTTGCATGTTCACTCCACTAGGCTAAAATATCAAAATTATTTGTTCCCTCTGAGGCGAAGGAAGAATCATCTAAAGTAGAAAAATTTGCTTGTAAAACTTAAAACTTAAAATTCTTTTATTTAAATTGTGGATTTATTGAATTATGTAACCATTTTTCAAGTTTAGTATCTTTAACTAACAAAAATGGTTGTTCATCATGTACAATGTATTTTACTAATTCTTGCATCTTTTTTTTTTTTGAAAATATTTAAAAGTACCAAACCCCCCGCTTAATTTGTGTTTGTGTTGTTTTTTTCCCTTATTTTTCTTTTTTCTCATGGGTGAGCAAATGCCTGCCTAAATGGCTAGTACCACCCTTTTTACAATAGCTAAAGTCTTTCCTACATTTTTGGCAAACAACTCTTTTTTCCTTCCTTAAACCTCATTTACTTTAAATATTTTTCAAACCGGGCTAATCAACTTAGTGGCCTTCTTTTTCTTTTACTAGGGGTGGAAGTTCCGTCAATGTCAATAGCATCCATATTGGTGCTAACACTATTATACTGCGATTGAATATCGTCAACATTGAAAATGTTGGAGAATTGGTTTTAGGAGAAGCCGACTATTTTTTTTTTAATTCTAAAAAATAAAAATTAATTTAATTGCACTTCCTCGAATTGCTGGTTTGAAATCCCAACTTAATTTCAACGGTTGAAGCCTTTCAACTTCAAGTGTCCAAGCTTCCCAAATTGCTAACTAGAGTTACTTGAGTTGTTAAGCAAACATTCTTATTGTTGAAACTTCAATAAAGTTGAGAATTGGAAAATCAATGAGAGATTGAAAGACTGAGACTTGAGAGAGTATGAGAACTAGAGAAGAGATTAAGAGAATTGTTGAATTGGTGTGATGAGAATGATGAATGATAGGGCTATTTATAGGAATTGAAAATAATTTAATTGCCCAAAATACATAAAAACTAGCCGTTTTTAGTTGTTGCGAGGGGTATTTTGGTTATTGTAAAATTATTTATCATTTTACCCAAAATGCCCCCAAATTAGTTGTTATATAGTTGTTGGGGGGCATTTGTGTCATTCTTTATCCCTAAACCAAAATACATAAATACCCTTTGTTTAGAGCTATTTATAGATGTTGGAGGGTATTTCTGCAAAAAAACCCCAAAAAGCTGAAACTTACCGTTGGGGGTCCGTAGGCCATGCCGTGCTAGGCGGGCTAAGCGCAATCCACAGGCCATGCCGTATCGACCCATGGACCTGAAACCCCAAGCCCAACACGGCCCAGACCAAGACCATCGTGGTGGGCCTGGCACGGCCTGATTTACACCTCCAGCTTTACATGAAAATCTTTTTATACAAAAAAAAAGCCGATCAGACGGTTTATATCTAATTGTGATTGATCAAATGGTGTACGCGTTATGTGCTCTGTTGATTTTTCTGACGGTTATTTTTTGGCGGGTAAAGCAAACTCTCAGTCTCTCCCTTTTCGTTATCCCTTGTGTTGCGGTTGCCTTCGAAATGTTGCTTTCTTCACCCTCTCCGGTAATCTCCCCTTCCTCTCTTCATTTCCCCCCTACCACCTCAGACCCTCCATACAAGCTACTCAAAACTCACCCATCTCTGTCTCTTCTCTCCAAATGCAGAGATATCGAAAATCTCAAACAAATCCACTCCCAAATCATCAAAACCGGCCTCCACAATACCCAGTTTGCATTAAGTAAGCTCATTGAATTTTGCGCCATTTCACCCTTCGGTGATCTTTCTTACGCTCTCTTAATCTTTGCGTGCATTGAAGAACCGAACGTCTTCATTTGGAATACAATCATCCGCGGCCACTCTCTAAGCTCTTCTCCTATCCTTGCTGTAGCTTTCTATGTCCGCATGTTGCTTGCTGGAGTAGAGCCGAATTCGTACACGTTTCCTTTTCTTTTGAAATCTTGTGCACAAGCTACAGCTACCCAACAAGGGAGACAGGTGCATGCGCATATTTTGAAGCTTGGTCTTGAGACTGACGCCTTTGTCCACACTTCGCTTATTAGTATGTACGCCCGAAATGGCGAATTGGAAGATGCCCATTTGGTTTTCGATAAGGGTTCTCTACGAAATGCAGTTTCTTTCACTGCTTTGATCACTGGATATGCGTCGGCAGGTTATTTGGAAGATGCTCGTAAGCTTTTCGATGATATCCCTGTTAGAGATGTTATATCATGGAATGCAATCATTGCAGGCTATGCTCAAAGTGGCAGATATAAGGAGGCACTGGATTTCTTCCATGACATGCTGAATTCAAATGTTCAACCCAACGAGAGCACACTGGTCAGTGTCCTCTCTGCTTGTGCTCAGTCTGGTTCTCTTGAATTAGGGCATTGGGCTAGGATTTGGATTGAGGATCATGGACTTGGTTCGAATCTTCACCTTGTAAATTCTCTTATTGATATGTATGCAAAGTGTGGAGATTTGGAGACGGCTCGTGGTTTGTTTGATGGGATTCATCAAAGAGACCGGGTCTCATGGAATGTCATGATTGGTGGCTATACTCATAAAGGGCACTATAAAGAAGCCTTGACTCTTTTCAGGCAAATGCAGCAATCAAATGAAGAACCTAATGATGTCACTTTCTTGAGTATTCTTCCAGCTTGTGCTCACTTGGGCGCTCTTGATCTTGGCAAATGGATTCATGCATATATAGACAGGAATTTTAGTAATTTGAGTAATGATGCCCTTTCAACTAGTCTTATTGACATGTATGCCAAATGTGGAAATATAGATGCTGCAAAACAAGTTTTCGATGCTATGAGACCTAAGACCTTGGCCTCTTGGAATGCAATGATATCTGGGCTAGCCATACATGGGCATGCGGATATGTCCCTTGGACTTTTCTTGAAAATGGCTGATGAAGGATTCAAACCAGATGATATCACCTTTGTTAGTGTCCTATCAGCTTGTAGTCATGCTGGTTTGGTGGAAGTAGGGTGCCAACTCTTTGAGTCGATGACCAGGGATTACAAGATTTCACCAAAATTACAACATTATGGATGTATGATAGATCTCCTTGGTCGAGCTGGGCTGTTTGAAGAAGCAGAGGCCCTAATAAAGAGTATGGAAATGAAACCTGATGGTGCTATTTGGGGCTCTCTACTTGGAGCTTGTCGGGTCCATGGCAATGTTGAATTGGGTGAATTTGTTGCTGACCACCTTTTTCAATTGGAGCCTGAAAACCCTGGTGGTTATGTTCTTTTGTCAAACATCTATGCGGGAGCTGGCAGATGGGAGGATGTAGCAAGAATAAGAACAAGATTAAATGATAAAGGAATGAAGAAAGTCCCTGGATGTAGCTCTATTGAGGTGGATAGTGTTGTTCATGAGTTTCTTGTTGGTGATAAAGCACATCCACAGAGCAAAGAGATATATGAAATGCTGGATGAAATGGATGAGCTTCTGGAATTGGCTGGTCATGTGCCTGATACATCAGAGGTACTTTATGATATAGATGAAGAATGGAAGGAAGGGGCATTGTCTCAACATAGTGAGAAGCTAGCAATTGCTTTTGGGTTGATCAGTACAAACCCAGGAACGACAATCAGAATAGTAAAGAACCTTCGTGTCTGTGGAAATTGCCATTCAGCAACAAAGCTCATATCCAAAATTTTCAATAGGGAGATCATAGCTAGAGATCGGAACCGGTTCCACCATTTCAAAGATGGTTTCTGTTCATGTAAGGACTACTGGTGAGAGTTGCATGGTTGCTTTGCATTTAGCAACCAACCTCATATCCAAGAAGTTGGAGTCATCTCCACTGCTTTGAAGGCATGTATTGAAATACTGATTATTAACGAGCTTGATTTCTTAGTACTCTAAGATACATCTCCACTGGTCAGGCTCCCAGATTCATTCAATTTGTACCTGATTTGCAGTTCATGATTTTCAGGTTGGCTAGTAAACTGGATGTATTATCAATTTGTATAGTGAGGATAGGTTGTTCGACTAATTCAGAAGATGAATGACTATATTCATTGATGATAAAGAAATGATGTATCCATTAACTTGGTGTATATTATGTGTGAATCCAATTTATTCACAAGAAAGACAATTAGATTGAATGCTATAGTTTATTTTGACGCAATTGACCTTGTTCATATCTTTTAGTTGAGTACACATTCAAGTGGATCTCCCCAATTCTCCGAGAAAGTGAAAACGGATGGATAATGAGGAGGCGTATATGAAACCCAGTCCAGAGATGGGGACTTTCAGTATTAAAATACAATGCTGTGGATCAAACTCAGGAATTGAAATTCTGATTTGGAATATTGATATTGAAAATGAAATGCTGAATCTCCCATCCATGGAAAAGTAGTTTTATATTGCTGCGATACATACACATGATATAGGATTTACAATTTTAATTGAAGAAAAAAACGGGAAAAGAAGAAGAAGAAGAAAAGGGAAGGATGCATCCAGTCTCAATTTGGATCCAAGGTTCCAAGTTAAGATTGGAAATTGGGGTAAGCCTGGAATGAGTTCTTCCTTGCCGTGGCCAAAACAGTCTTGTCTGCAACTACAAAGTATGCGGAACCGGCCACTGCCATCAAATAACAAATTTGAAATTTCATTAACTGATATAAAGGCGAAACATGTGAAAATGAAAGAAAAGAATTTGATGCAAAAAAAGAGAGTAAACCTATAGAGATGATGAGAGCTTGAGCAGTGGGATTGAGGTTAGCTCTAGCCCAAGGCAACATTCTGACACTAGCAAACTGCATTTGAAGCACAACAGAGTTGTGAAGTCAGTAATGCCTTTTCAATTATGGAAATGTCAACATTAGAAACTGATAATGGGAAAGCAAGACTTACAGTGGGAATTGCAGAAGCAAAGGTGGCGACGATAGCCGCTTTGGTCCCGGCGACAACCCCCTCTGTTGTTACAAAACAAGAAACCCAGTTACTAATCTCAGTAAGATCAACAATGAGTTTGAAGAAATTAAAAGAAAAAAACACAAATTAAATTTCTGTTAAAATCGGTTTAAACAACACACAGTCGATTGCAGTGTCAACGAAAGAAAAGGACGGGTGTGAAGAACTAAAACAGGAGAGAACAGCTACCAACCATGACCGCATCGCTTCGCCATGGCGAGTTTCTGGTCAAGTGAAGCAAGCCCATTTCTCTCCAGAGGAGAGTGAGCTACATTTTTCGCCATTTTTGAGATGATTGAAAAGATTGTCGCTTTACTGATTTGAAATTGAGTTGGAGAGCGGAGAGAATACAGAGAGAGTTTGAAAGAAGCTGAGGAAAGTTGAAGGCTTGAAGCTCAGACACTGCACGAATCCGGGAGATCAGGTTCTTCTAATTTATAATAAAGGAGAGAAATGAGAAACCGGGGGAGAGTGGGTGTCAGGTTGATTAGGGATGGAGTTTGATGGTTTTGGTTTGATACTGAGGTCGGAGTGTCTGGTTTTTCCTCCCTTCCGTTACTGTTCCCATCCCAGAATGTTGTTTGATTTCCTAGGCCTATCTGTGTCTGTGGGGCCCTAAAAAACCAATGGCGGTTTTTTACTTTTTAGGACGATGAGCCCGGATCTGGGGATAAAAGATATCATCGAATGGCTAGATCTAAATCATGAAGTTGAGGATAATCCAACTTGTTAAATTCGTGAATCCTTCTCAAAAACATACTTTGGAACACTGGTGAACTGATTTGTATTAACTGTGGGCTTTAATTAAGCTAAGCATCTGTATGATCTCTACTGGTTGCCCGTTTGTTTGGATGACTGGATCCCCAATAGAACCACGACAAATGTTAATTGAGATTTGAGAACAAGATGAAACGTGCTCTATTACCATTGCTTTTTGTCTGCATTAATTAATCTTCCTAAAAGCCATCACTCTCGGATGAGAACCACGCAGTTGTCTTTACCACTCAATCAGTTCTTATTAGAGAATTTTACCTTTCAAAAATGACTTTTTTTTTTTCTTTTTGTAAAATTCAATAATGACTGGTAATTACAAACTTCTCCATTGATTACAGTCCCTCAAAACCTCTGTGGATTATTGTTAGAATCAATCAACGAGAGCTCCATGCATCAAATACTACATATTCAAAATTGATTGGATCTTTTTTTCTTTCAACGATAGCTTCTGCTAGGTGTTTTCGCTAAAACTTGAGTTCATTTGCCGGTATCTCATGAGATCAGTTGATCAACTTTTCTGTGTTCTTACATTTCTATAATAGAAATGGGTTATATGTTAAAGCAAAATTTTCAGAGAGTATTGATTATCTGAGTAGTCCATATCCTAAGGATGGATAGGTTTCGTACTCGAAAACGCTAATCCCTCTCACCTTTCTTTACTTGGGTAAGTGAAAACACAGAGAAAAACTGATACCAAAGTAAAGTTAATCAGGTAACTTTTGTCCAGATAAATTGCTCAGCCAGGTAAATTAAAACGAATGAGGCCTTATTAACAATTACAATGCTTGAAGCCCGGTAGTGTGATGCCAAAGGGTCTCTCGACGAGAGGGTTACTCTCTATATGTCAGAATTTCTTTCTACGTAAGGATCTCTCTCGGCGGGAGGGTTTCTCTCTCACACTGATGGGTTATTGGGTTAAAAATGTTTAGTAATTCACGAAATTCCTCCCTCCAAGAAGTGGGTATAAACTATCAGAATTTTGTGGGCATTAAAAAAAAAAAAATCTTCTAAATAAAAAACCAACTAAAGCTTCATTAGGTTTGTGTACAAGGGAGAGAAAAGTGATGAATGGCTTTCTACAACCCATCGACCCAGAAACTTTATCCCTCATCATCCCTTTTTTCTTTTCTCCAACTAACAGCAGCAGAAGGATATTATTATTATTTATGAAGACCATGGCCCCCCAACTGAAGTTGTCTTCACAACAATCATTACACTATATATGAATAAGGTACCAGTTCCTTAATACAGAATTTATAGATAGAGATGAATGGGGCCCATCTGCAATCGAATCAAGCTCCCCACCAGCGTCATTGAATTCGTTCTGGATCATACCATGTGCCGAAACCGATAAACAGTCTAATCATGTGTTGGGTTCCCAACTCAGATTACAGGGACAAATTAAAATTAAGCAAAGACTAGTCCTGGACGAAGATAACTAGTGTTTAATTTCCTATTAATCGTTACTCAGCTGATTCCTCATAAAAATTTGGATTATAATCCCTTGTACATGCAAGATACAACCTGCTGGAAAACTTAGAACAGTGAATCCATGGAAAACAAACTTGCTTTTATGTATTTTACAGTATACATAGGTTTTGGAGCAACAAAGTTTACAGAAAACAGAAAAGCAAAACAAAAGGAAAACGTGGGGGGACTGGAAATTAAGCTTGGGTGTTAGTATAATCCTTGAAGGAGTTTCTCCTTGCAGTGGCCAAAACAGTCTTGTCTGCGACTATGAAGTATGCGGAACCAGCCACTGCAATCAAATCATCAACA